TGCCCATAGTGCATCATCAATGCGTATACTCCAATCCTTCCGATTTGGGTTCACTGTTTTTTGGAGTATAGACTTCAACTCCCTATTTGAGGTTTCCGCTTGGCCATTGGTTTGAGGGTGGTAAGCGGTGGAGATCTTGTGAGTCACACCATATTTCTTTAGGAGGGATCCCACAATTTTATTACAAAAATGTGTGCCTCGATCGCTTATTAAAATTCGAGGGACCCCGAACCTTGAAAATATGTGTGTTTTGAGGAAACTAGCCACCACTTTGGCATCATCAGTCTTTGTTGCCTTTGCCTCCACCCATTTGGAAACGTAATCTACCGCAAGGAGGATGTAGATATTACCTTGAGAGTTTGGGAAAGGTCCCATGAAGTCAATACCCCATGAGGTCCCTTGCTTGAGAAGGGGTTTTGTTAACAATACCCCCTCCACATGCCGCATTTACCATGTGTCTATCTTGATCAACAAGCCCATCATAGAAGTAGAGGATGAGATCTTGTTCCGAATATCCATGATATGGGCAACTAGCGCATAATTTCTTAAAGCGCTCCCAATATTCGTACAAGGTCTCATCATCTGCTTGCTCAATGTTGCTGATTTGCTTTTTGAGACTTGAAGAGATAGATGCGGGATAATACCTGTCGAGGAAGCTCTTTTTCATTTGAGCCCATGTGTTGATGCTACCCGAAGGAAGGTAGAAAAGCCAATCCTTCGCGGTGTCTTTTAAAGAAAATGGGAAGGCCCTTAGCTTTATTTGCTCCTCGGATACACCATTGGGGCACATGCTCGTGCACACAATATGCAATTCCGATAGATGTTTGTTAGGATCTTCCCCCCGTAGGCCATGGAAAGAGGGAAGTAGATGAATGAGCCCAGATTTAAGCTCAAATGTGACCCCCGTATCAAGAGTTGGAAAAGTGATACATAGGGGTTGTTGATTTAGATTCGGAGCTGTGAGCTCCCTTAATGTTCTTGTTTCATGAGCCATAGTGATTGGCTCTTCGGTCTCGCTAGATTGAGAACTAGCACTTGATGATTCTCCCGAGTCGGAGTTTGAAAATTTGTTTTTCAACCGCTCGAGAGTTCGTTCTATTTCGGGGTTTGAGTGGTATGTGATTTCGTTCAGTGAACGATATTTTACCATGTACTACAAAGCTCAGCAGAAATGGAAATCTTTATACTCAAACCATATTTTTTTTCCTTTTTCTTAAAATAAAATAAAAAGAAAAATTAATTGTCTTTCCCCGGCAACGGCGCCAAATTTGACGTGCACTTTGTCGTGAGTGCACTCAAAATAAATTTATTAGTAGCACTTATACGTAGTATAGGTGAAGTAGAGTTCGTATCCACAGGGAAAGGAATAGTTCTCTTTTTATGAACTAGTAAATAAAGGGGGGGTTTTGTTTGTTGAGTGATTTAATTAAATTAAACATGAAGATGAACGAGTTATATGGGATTAAATTCAGGAATAAAAGGGACTTGGTCTTGCTACTTTCCACTTGTTGATATATTTTAGTCGATCATTGTTATATCTATAACTTATCCCCTCTCGAATACTCAATCGAGGAGTATATCCAATTCATCGAGGGTAGTTATTAACAACAACCGTTCATTAATAACCCTTACTATTAATCAAATATAGAACAACGCCGTATACCAATTTAATAGTAGCATTTAACCTCTTTAACTCCTTGATGAAATCAATTGAGATTGATAACCTCAACGCAACGGTTTCGGTTTAACCAACAAAATTAATCCCTCTTAAGTTTATTAACCACGACCGTGCATTAATAAACCGAAGTTACTTACTTATGAAACCTTCAACGTTTAACCATCGGTTCGTTGAACGTTTCTAGTAATAATCAATGTCGGAACGTTAACTAATCGTCACTTAGCCACCCTCCAACAATGATATAGAATGAGATTAAGGGAAGAATTAATAACCAAGAGGAGAAAGTAAGAAAATAACTCACAACTTTAATAATCAATCAAGCTTCAAGAGCAAAACCAAGATGGAAGAGTTTAGCTCCTCATTTGGAGACTAAACATGATAAAAATATAAAGAAAGAACTTATCTAAACTGAGCTTAGAAGTATAAAGGAATTGGTCCCTTATTGTGGAGGAAATGTGGTGTATTTATAGGCTTTTTAGGCCTGCAGGGTCGTGTACCCGATCGGGTTTTCAGCTCAACCGATCGGGTAAGGGTTATTTCCTCGAAACTGAAAATCTGGGGTCATACCCGATCGGGTATGTCGGCCACCCGATCGGGTATGGATACGCGATCGAGTTAAAAAATCCTCCTGCATGTTGCTTTGTTCCCGGGTTGATTCGATTTGACTTTTCAGCAACTTACCCGATCGAGTATAGAGCATACTCGACCGGGTATGCTACCAAAAATCAGAATCTTCATCTTTTCTTGAAATCTTTGCACCTTCCTTCCATTTGTGATGTTCACCAATGGTCCCTAGAGTGGTCTTGGACCTGTTTGAGCTCAGAACCAACCTAATCTAAACAATTTACAAACATTTTTACAAACTAAACTATTACACCAAAAGTGTGTAATTTCTAGAGTAACAATCACTCAAAACTAATCAAAAACACAATTATAAACACGGAAATAACATGAATGTCAGACAGCTCACCGTAGGAAAATTCCAGCTGTTTGACAAGCCCTCTCCTCCAACCGAACTGGAAAGTGAAGTAATGAAGCCGGAAGAGCAGCGAATGGCAGTTCCGTATGAGCGATGAGCGACAACGGTTCCGTATGAGCGGTGGCGTTTCCCAGTGAACAGCGTCCGGCGTCGATTCCGGGTATGCGGCAACCGGCGGAGTCCGTCTGAAAGTAGCAAGGGACGATCCGGTGGAACTGAGGTTGCGATAGGGTGGGGAGCTCCCATCCAGATCGGGTGGGGTGGAGGAGGTAGTAACCAACTAAGCCTGGAAATGGAGAGATTAAGCTTTGAGAACCCTAAAATCTGAGCTTTGGGGCAAAATGAGAAGAGAAGCACGAGATGTTGAGATGTCGAGTGAGGGAGGAGAAAATGAAAGGCTCCTATTAATCCATGTCAGCAAACGGAGGTTATAAACACGGAAATGGCCGTGTCGAGTGAGGGAGGGCACTGTACACACGGAAAAACGACCATCTTACTCCCTTGGCCGCTTATATTTTATAGTAGATACACATGTGATAATAACTATACGTGCATAATAATAGCTAACAACTAGACTAAGTGATAACTCTTGATACAACAACTATGCCTTGATATGTGCGGACTGCGGATAACTATGCTTAATAGATAAATACAAATATGTAAATTATGACTTAATAATCGATAGCTTGAAGGGATACTATTTTGGGAAAACTGTCAAATAAGCCCTCCTACTATGTACGAAAAGTCAATCAAGTCCATGTACTTTGAAAACACCGAATTTAACCCTCGAACTCTAAAAAAACCGCTCAATTGAGCCCATTTACCTGGTTACCATCCCGTTTCCCGGTTGGCGGGCCACGTGGCGGCACAGATGACATTTTCTCTTTCTTTTTACCTTTAGTTTTGTCTTTTCTTTTTGGGAAAACTGTCAAATAGGTCCTCGAACTTTCATAAAAAAGTCAATTAAGTCCTTCTATAGGAGATTCTGTCCGGTCGTCGCAATTTGGGGCGGTTCCCGGTGGAATTTTTTGATGAAATTTTTTGAACATCTTATTTATCAAGTCTATTTTACTCATACCAAATTTCAGCTAAAAATTTAATCGGGAGCGCATTCAAATTAATTCGAGAACGCAAAAAAGCGCAGTTGTCATCAAGAATTAATTTGAATGTGTTCCCGATTGAATTTTTAGCTGAAATTCGGTACGAGTAAACTAGACTTGGTGAATAAGAAGCTCAAAAAATTTCATCAAAAAATTCCACCGGGAACTATCCCAAATCGCGACGGCCGGACAGAACCTCCTATAGAAGGACTTAATTGACTTTTTTATGAAAGTTCGAGGACCTATTTGACAGTTTTCCCTTTCTTTTTCTATATCTTTTCTTTCTTCCTCAAGAATTGTACGCCTCCAACACCTTTCGTTTCTTCCTTCTTTCTTGTACCCAGACCACTCCCATTCGTCGGAGCAACTTCACCCCGGTCAGGCAACAAACAAGGGGCAACTTCGCCGGGAATTGAGCAGAGACGAAGGCCACTGCCGCCGTCTACACTATTGGAGCCATCCTCAGGGTCGCCGGAATCTTGTCGCAGCCGGAATCTACCCGACAAAAGAAGAAACAAACAGAGGAAAAGAGATATTCCGTTCGAGCAGCGCAGATGCTGTCGCCGTCTATCGTACTCACAGCCGCTCCGATCTACGACGAGTTCACCATTGTCGCCCCTCTCAAAGTCTCCATCTGAACAGAGAAGAAGAGGCGTGAAAATCCGCCGGAGTGTAACCATCAACGTTGCTGTGCTCCATTTACCCTCGTCTTCCACCAGTTAATTGCATACAATTTCTGAGAGGAGACCACAAAGAGAAAGAAAAGGGGCAGCTGGAGCCCTAAAGAAAAAAGAGGGGAAATGAAGTTGCGAAGAAAGAGACGAGGAAGAAAGAGGAAAGGAAAAAGGAAAGAGAAAAGTAAGGGGAAAAAGAAAAAGGAAAAGCCATGTGTGCCCGCCAACCGGGAAACGGGATGGTAACCGGTTATATTGGCTCAATTGAGCGGTTTTTTTAGAGTTCGAGAGTTAAATTGGGTATTTTCAAAGTACATGGGCTTAATTGACTTTCCATACATTAGTTCTGAGGTACTCTTAAACATTAGAACTAAACTATATACTGCGTGTGTGTGTTGAAAAATTGCAAATCGTGGTACATAACGTTGCAAATCGATCATATCATATTAATATAATCCGTAGTACGAAGTACGTAGTACTAGTATAACACAGTACCGTACTCCAATAAGGCAATAATAACGTAGTACGTACTAAGTAAAACATAACATTAGAACTAAATATATCGGTCTGTGCGTGTGAGCTACTATCAGATCAGATAATATAATTATATACGAAGTATAAAACATGCATTTTCCAGCAGATCAGATGTCTAACTTGCAATCTTCATTGTCATCATTCTTGTTTGAAGACCGCCGCCGTCCCTCATTTTTTCAACTTTGTAGGGAATGTAGGTGCCGAAGATTTGGTCCCACATAACGAAGAAGGGCTGTGAATAATTGAACTTGTTGCCACGAAGTTGGTGATGTATGTCATGGTATGCAGAATTGTTGTTGAAGAGCAACCTGAAAGGATTCCCCGGCAGCCACATTCCGCAGTGATCATCAACGGCTTTGAGAGTTGCCAGCGAGAAGAAAAATATGGAGGCACGGGGTGACATTCCTGAAATAAGGAAAGCTAAAGCTCCACTTCCGGTATCCACAATTAGACCTTCAAGAGGATGGTTGTACATAGCCCCAAACGCGTACGGGACTATTAGTTTGTGATGGTGAGAGTGAATATGCTTGTAGAGGAACTTGTTTTGGTGCAGGTAGCGGTGCATGAAGTACTGCCAAGCATCCAATACCAACATGGCAATTAAGAATTATCCTGATATTCTTATAATGAGAGACGGCGTGGTGGGAATGTTGACTGGTTTATCGTCATCTTCATCAAATTCCTTTCCTTGGACCACCTATGACTTTGCATGTTAGTGTACGTATATAGTCATCAATTGACACCATATTGTTGTACTAGCCTACTAGGTCTATGTTACGGAGTAGTGTGTGTATATATATATACACACTAGTATATATATATATATATATATATATATATATATATATATATATATATATATATATATATATATATATATATATATATATATTACGTTGTTCCGTCCCCGGACGCTAGCTTGATCTGCCCACGTACTGCCCACCCAAATTTCATAAACAATTATATGTTGGAATTAATCTTGTTATTAGTTCTAGATAATTAGATTAATTATTTGCATGGGTTGGTAATTAATTATGCATGTGTTGTGTGTAGTGGGTGAGTGGGCTTCATGGTGTGGGTTGTAACCACCTTGTTTGTATGTGGGTGTTGCTTTGCTTATTTCTTATGTACGTTAGTACGTATGCATGCAAAAGCTTCTACTAGGTATTTGATTTTAGATCAAATACTCAACACATAAATTCTTCCTTCCCGGTATTCCCAACATTATAGATTAGTTGTAATACATTTATCAAAAATAATTTTTTATACGCACCAAGCTCATCACATGCAATTCCCAGTGTATGACTTGGTATGTTTAATTTTTTAAACACTATATGATTATATATAGTAGAAGGTTTTTAAAACATGGCATCCGTGCATGTGAAGAATATTGAGACCAAAATGACCATATAACAAATACACACAGAGGGCCTGCAACAAATACCCCATTCGCCCATTATTAGCCATTGATAACATGCATTAGGAAACAAAAAAGCAGTCACTAGCAGAGGGGAAACGTAATTTATCATCTTCATCAAATTCCTTTCCCTGGACCACCTATGACCAAGCATGTTACTATGTTGGTGTATGGAGTGAATTTTCAAAAAATTGTTATAAACAAGAATAAAATATTATTTACTTCTTCTTCTGCCTTTTTTTCAATAAAATAAAATAAAATATAAAGAAAATTTCAAAATAATACTAAATGGTTACATAATCATAAAATATAGGTCTCGTGAAGTTAATTGCACCTATTTTATTTAATGAAGTATATAAAACTTTTGAACTTTTTCAAAGTGCATTAAAACTCCACTTTTATGATCAAATGTATATATTTTTTGTTTTATGTCTTTGCTACTTATGAGAATGGAATTGTGGAAGTGTGTAACCCCCAGAGACAAAAGCTAGTCCAAATATTAAAGCACATACACTCCAAATTTCGGTATCCATTTGAGTATAAGAACAAATATGATGAACTTGAATTGTTTCTTTTACATCAAAATGGCTGAGAACTACAAGTAATTAGTGAATATATAGTGCCTTCTCCATAGAGGTGCAGTGCGAACTTTTCTGGAAGGAAGGTGCTGATTAATTAGCAGGATAGTTAGAGAGAAGAAAACTGCCATAAGGTTATATGGGGCATAATTTCATCGTGGGTTTCCTTAAGGGCTATTTAGCTTAATTATTTTTACTAACTCATGATATTAACTTAAAGTTACATATTAAAATGTGTACATACGCCCAATTTTCTCAATAATACTCCGTATTTTCTTTAAATACTCTAAATGGGAATAAACCGTTGTGAGTGGATAAATATTCAATTCGAGTTTAGGATTAGTCTTTTAAGAGTTTACCGTTTCCACTTACTACGTATACTAATTTGGACCCTACTAATTTATATTCAAAGTCACGCTAATGGTCGTACAAGACTAAATATTACTAATCCTGCACTTTCAAGATCTAGATATATGGTCTTAGATTCAATTTGTAAATGTTGTTCTTAAAGCTCAAAAATAGAAGTATGTTTGATTCTCAAAATAGGAGTTACTTAGTCGTATTTCGGTAATAATATACTATCGTATTAATAATTCCATTTATAAACATTATCCATGTTTTGGTCACATGAAGTGAATTTTCTCATTTGTTTGTGACTTTTCCAATAAATAATTGTTCTCTCTATTGAAAAGTACTGGTAACAGGCCCGTGCCTTATTTTAGGCTGGAGAGACCCAAGCCTCAGGGCCCCAAAAAATTGAAAAAATTAGGGGCCCATAATTTTGTAAACATTACTATTATTATACTTATGTATTTTCTAAGGCCGTTGCCATTTGGGGCGGTTCCCGATGGATTTTTTTGATGAAATTTTTTGAGCAACTTCTTCATCAAGTCTAATTTATCCATACCAAATTTCAGTAAAAAATTCAATCGGAAGGCTGTCAAATGAATTTTTGAAGATAACTGCGCAGTTAAACAACACATTATATTTCAGAAAATCATTTGACTGCCTTATTGGTTGAATTTTTAGCTGAAATTTGGTATGGATAAACTAGACTTAATGAAACAGATGCTCAAAAAATTACATCAAAAAATTCCACTCGGAACCACCCCAAATGGCGATGCTCGGACAGAACCTTTTATATAAGGGGTGATTTGAACTTTTTAAGAGCCCGTTTGGAGAACTCTGTTTTCGGCTTATCAGGCTTATCAGCCAGTTTTTTCACCAAACACGTAACTTTTACTTTCACGCGCTGAATTGTGTAATAAGCCGAAAAAGTAAGGTTGGAGTTACTTTTCTGGCTGTATTAGCTGAAGTTACTGTAGAGGACCATTTTAGCTATTTTTACATATAATTTTTTCTTTAATTTATTAATAAAATATATTTTTAAAATATTTTTTCTTAAATCAGCAGAATCAGCCAAAACAGCCACTCCAGCCAGAATATCATAAATTTCAGCAGAATCAGCCAAAACAGTCGATTTTGGTGCTACCAAACGGGCTCTAAGTTAGTTCGAGGGCTGATTTGTAGAGAAATTAATAGTATATATCGTTGAGGATTCCACTAAATTATGTATCTAAAACTGTTTGACGGGTTTTACTTAAATAATTTTTTAATACATTCAATGTCGTTTTGTGATAATGGAAGACTTATTGAAGGATTACGTTTTTGTGATAGTTAATCATTCAATTTTAGTGAATTTGTATGATAAACAAACACTATGTATGGGGTCGATTTTATAAAGCTCGACTCAGGCCTGAGTTTAGGTAGGACCGGCACTGACTGATAATAAATAGTGCTAATAAATAGATAGTATACTAATACGTACGACAATATATAGTACTACTGCGTAATACGTATAATCGGGAATTTTTTTATGTACACATGCACATATTAAATTTTAATCAGACAAATATACTGTATGTTGACTCTCATTGTGTTTCTCTATATGCCGCGGCATCGATTTTTTTTTTTCAAGTGACGCTATATTATTGTTGTATACTACGTATATATGTTGCTCCGTCGTCCCTGGACGCTAGCTAGATCGACCTGCCCACAGCCCACCCAAATTTAAAAAAACATTTAAATATTAGTTACTACCTCCGTTCCTAAATAAATGCAACATATGAAAATTTACACTATTCACATGTTCCATTTTGACTATGTTAAATTTGTCTCATTGTAAATTTTCAAAATCTATTTTTTTAATTTTTTTTACTAATACAAAATTATATATATTAATGGTAAAAGTTGTGTCTCGGCAAGTGTGAAATTTTGACTGTTGCATTTATTTAAGAACGGGGAAGTATAATAAATTTATCAAGAATAATATTTTTTATACCAAGCAACTCCCGACATATACCTTGACTACCCCACTGATTACATGCATTATCTAGCACACACAAAAGCAGGAACTAGCTTAGGGGCAAATCGCAATTATATTCGCCGTAAGGAAATGGTTTGAACAACGTAACGTCCAGGTGAAAAAATAAACGATAAAGACTACGTACAGAGAACACTACTATGGCAACAATGGCCTGAACGGCCTGCTGCAGTAGAACACCAAAGATGACCTGCCTCTTTGAGGCCAGGTTCTTCTCCTCTTCTTCAACTACTGAATGCAGTCGATACTTCTTCAAAGACCCTAGAGCTGTGTAAAAACCAGAGTATAACCAGTATAAAATGATGGGCACAAAGGTGCCCAACATTTCATCCGAGAATAAGAATGTTTTCATGATTTCAAACTGATATGGGTGTAAACGTTTGATGGAAACCGGAGTTCTTAAACTCTCCGAAGCATGAGAAATTAAGGCTGAAGAAGCGTATATATATTTGGGGGAAGAAGCTAGCGTCAAGCAACTTTCCATCGTACAAAGCTGACATTTACGAAGTACTACCTCCGTTCTTAAATAAATGCAACACTTTGATTTTTACACTATTCACATGTTCTATTTTGACTACGTTTTATTTATTAATGTAATAATTTTTTTATGAAAAAAATATTGTTAAACTTGGCTCATTGTAAATTTTCATAATCTAATTTTTTTAATTTTTTTACTAATACAAAATCATATATATTAATGGTCAAAGTTGTGACTCGACAAGTGTGAAATATTGACCGTTGCATTTATTTAAGAACGGAGGAAGTACATAATGTATGTGACCATCTAGATTGTAGGTAATGTATGTAATAATGTAACTTTTTTCAATTCTAATTGGTAAATGTCTAAATCAATACTCCGTATAATTTTTCAAATGAATCTGCATTTCATTATTAATGTGTAACATTTTTATTTCTCTTAAAAATATAATTAAAAAAAATTGCTTGAACCGAGAATGGTAGGCTGAGTTCCCGGGACTGGATCGGGACTGGGTCAGTTTGACAGTTTCAGGCCTCCACATCTTAGAACCGGACAGACTAGACACCTGAATCGCGATCGGCTGGTCCAGAGTCGGAACTGATCGGTTCCGACTGGAATCGGAACTGATCGGTTTCGACTGGAATCGGCGGGACCGGCCGATCCGTACCAAAACTAGCCCGCTAGTAAATGGGGAAAGTCCACAGTTCCGAATTGTACAAATTAGAGATCAACCCATGGGGTCAAAAAGCAATTTAAAAGCATAAAAGGGGTCATAAGAGGGGTGGAGACGGGGTTAAAAAAATTGAAAAAATTAAGCCTAGGATCAGAATTTTGGGTCCTGGTCCGAATTTTTGAAAAACTATGACCCCGTTTGAAGACACAAAAATAGCCTGATTCGGCCGATTCAGTTCAAATTTATGATTCTATTGATTTAAGAAAAAATTATTTTTAAAATATATTTCATTAATAGAATAAAGAAAAAATTATATGTAAAAATAGCTAAAATGGTCATTTACCGCAACTTCAGTCAATACAGCCAGAAAAGTAAGTCCAACCTTACTTTTTTCTTATAAATAATACTAGTAATTACGTGTTTGGTATAAAAGTTGGCTGATAAACCAAAACGTAGTGTTACCAAACGGTCTCTATATATATTGTTGATGACTGCAACTTTTTTAAAATAATTGAGCAAATAGAATAGTGATCAATAGGAGTGGGAAAACTGAACCCATACCCGAAACCGACCTACCTCGACCCGACAGATTTTACCGATTCAAATATTTTCTTTTTTTGAAGGACCACTTAAAAATACATACGCAGACCTAAGCCGATCGTTAAGTGTCACTATTTTCTCTCTAAAATATATAATCCGACTCGGACTGAGAGAACCCAATTAAACAATTACCATTATTGATGTATTATCAATAATGAATGAAAATATAACTAAAGTTACTATTAGGAGTGGGCACGGTCCAGGACGGTTCGTGATTTGGCTTATCCCGATCCCGTCCCGGTTTTATAACAACGGTCTGGTCCGGTACGGGATAAATCTTTATTCCAATATTGTCCCATTTAAAACGGGACCGAGACAACCCGAGAAAAACCGGGACGGTTCGGGATGTCCCATAAAATCTGCATTTGTGAAATGTGATATAAAAATAAGCACAACATCAAAATAAAGACGTAACTATTTTTGCAAATTTAGTTTCCCTAAAAAGTTAAGTAAAACCTTTAATTAACTATTTTTAATTTTTGTCTTGTAAATTTTTTTGGTCCCCTAATCTTGTGTTTCCTCTAGTAGAATAGTAGCGCAAAATATTGTTATCTATTTATTTCCAATAGATAACAATATTTTATTAATGAGGAAGGAAAATATTTTTTACTTTACAAATTTAACCATGTATAATATATATATATATATATATATATATATATATATGCATATATATATAATATAAAATATATATTTATTGTGTTGACCGGGTTTGACCGGGTTGATACTCCAGGTCCGGGTTGACCCTTGACCCAGTCATTTATCGGGGTCGCTTTAAACATAGCTTTAGCCTTCTTATTTGAATTTTTATTTGAATTTTTTGAATTCAAATAGTCTTATACGGCTCTAAATAGAGAGAAGAAAATTCAGCAATTATTGATTTCCCCAAAATGGTGGGCGGACGGGGTGCTTTGAACGGTCCCTCCACAACACAGACTTACTAGCTATTTGGCCCTCTTATACGCTCTGTGCCATGAGATAATGTAACCGTATTTTTATTTCAATTTTAGCAATGGTTGATGGTATTTCTAACCGAAAGAAAAGCAGTACAGAGAAACAGGCTGAGAAAATGGGGAGTGTTGGGGAGGTTTTGTCCAGTTCCTTTCGTTTTCACACCACCGGCGGGGGAGCCAGCGAAGAAGATGAAGAAACCCTCCTGCGATGGGCTGCCTTGCAGAAATTGCCAACTTACGACCGATTGAGAAAAACAGTTCTCAAATCTTTCATGGATGATGGAGGTACAAGGGTTGTTGATGTTAGGAGGCTGGGCTTCAACGTGAGACAAGAATTCATTGATAGGTTTTTTGAGGTTCCCAATGAAGACAATGAGAAGTTCCTTATTAAGCTCAGAAATCGAACGGATCGGTAAGTGACAAATTATACTTCATCCGTTCTTCTTTAGTTGCAACGGTCAACATTTCACACTTGCCAACGCACGTCTTTGACCATAATTATCTCTATTAGTAAAAAATATTTTAAAAATAGATTTTGAAAATTTGTAATGAGATGAATTGAACAATATTTTTTTAAAAAAAATAATTTTCATAAAATAATAATATAAAATGTAGTCAAAGTAGAACATGTGAATAGTGTAAAATTCAACATGTTGCGATTAAAAAGAGACGGAGGATAGTACAATTTAATTACATCTCTTGTGTTGGGTTTTTAGTTTTTACTGGAAAATTCGGAGCTTCATAAAAGTATGTGAAAATAAATTTAAATATTAATTGGTACAAGTTATCATCCATAATTAAATTAAATCAAGAAATAATAGCCTAATAGGTACTTTACAGTTTACATATGGAGTATACTAATTTATTATAATGCTCGTATATCAACTGCGGGGTATTTGAATGTAAAACAAATGCAATATTATTGAGCTACTTTCACTAAAAGTTGAGTCATTAAAATCATCAAAAACTAATACTATTACAAATTATAAAAAAGTGACCTCATTTCAAAATATATACGGTAGTATACTTTACTTGATGATTTGATATCAAATTAATGTCTTGAATTGATTTCAAATAAAAAGTGGTTCAATATTATTTTTGGTATACTCCGCATATACAAATACCGAGTAATTGATATTATTACAAATTATTTACAAAGTACATATCACTCCGGATTATTGATTGATAGTTGAAATTATTTATTTAGAGTTATTTTCCCTAAAATTATATCAACATTTTGTTTCTCTAACCTAGTAGCGAAGTGTTTGGGAACCTAGAACTCACAATCCACTTTAAAATTAAACGTACAAAATAATACGGAGTCTCGTACTCACTGTTAAATCACTGCCGTTGTAATGTACGATATGGCATATGGTAAATGATTTTACATTAATACAAAAGGAAAGTGTATCTTGAAAAAATATTTCTACGTACCTAACATCTTCTATGCATCAACAATTTTCTTATCGAGACTAGAAAATCTATATATAGTAAGTAGCTTAGAAATAGTGTAATACGAGTAGTATTAAGAGTCCGTTTGATGATAACATTGAAATGGACTGAATCGATTAATTATGCTGAAGTTCATGAATTAGCTGGATTGACTTATTCTACTAGATTATGACGAATTACATTTAAATACTACATCTGTCCATAATAAACTTTCAAATGGGTTGGACACACAGTTTAAGATAGTGAGTATTGTGTGGTGGAGAGTTGTGCAGAGGAGAGAGAAATGTGTAAGAAATGTTGTGAACCACAAATTCTTTAACAGAAAGGGAAAGTGGAAATTTTAATTGGGACGGACGAAAAAGGAAAGTTGGAAGTTTATTTAGGGACGGAGGGAGTATATTTTATTAGTAAAATAAAAAATAAAATATACGTAGTATGAAAAATAGTTAAATGATCTTATACAGCCATTAAATGCACAAAATCAAAAATTACATATTTGATGAAAAATTAAAGTTTGTTGATAAAGTTAATAAACCACAAAAAAAGGAAATGATAGATATAAAGTACTCCATACTACGTATAAAAGTAAGATAAAAGATTGAAAAAGTAAAATAGGGTACATGTTATGATAGATGAAAATGGAACAAATGATAGGAGTCCTCATATAATTTATTGTAATTTTGAATTACGTACATAATTAATTTGCAGAGTTGGGATTAGCCTTCCGAAGGTAGAAGTGAGATTCAAGAACTTAGACGTTGAGGCGGATTGCTTTGTAGGCGACAGGGCACTTCCGAGTTTGGCAAATGCTGCTCGTGACCTAGCGGAAACGCTGCTAAATTGCTTTGGAATTAGATTTGTTCATCACAAAACCAAACTCAATATACTAAAAGATATTTCAGGCATAAAGCCCTCTAGGTATTTATTGTTGTTAATTACATTGACATTTTTTTACCATTACTGTGTGTCTATGTACGTTTTTTTAGAATACGATTCGTGAGTACATCATATACTATCCTCCATCTCTTTTTAATCGCAACATGTTGAATTTTACACTATTCACATGTTCTACTTTGACTACATTTTATGTTATTATTTTATGAAAATTATTATTTTAAAAAAATATTATTCAATTCATCTCATTACAAATTAAATTTTCAAAATCTAATTTTTAAATATTTTTTGCTAATAGAGTAGATATAATTACGGTCAAAGACGTGCGTTGACAATTGTAAAATGTTGACCGTTGCAACTAAAAAGGAACGGGGGAAGTACTACGTATCACTTAATACTTACTCCATGTATTTTATCATGTAAGTACTGTTTTCTTACTTTAATTGTTTCTTGAAAATTGACCAAAGAGGATAAAAACTCCGCCCATCTAGTTCCAATTTTAATCATTATTCTAGTACCGTTTTCTGTACTTTAATTGTTTCTTGAAAATTGGAAAACAAACTGTCGAAAGAATCGTGTGGTTTTTTATTGTTGCGGGTAGAATTTAAAACTAGTAATATCATCCGTCTCTTTTTAATTGCAACATGTTGACTTTTTGCACTGTTCACATGATCTACTTTGACTACATTTTACATTATTATTTGATGGAAATTATTTTTTAAAAAAAATATTTTTCAATTCATCTCATTACGAATTTTCAAAATCTGATTTTTAATATTTTTTTATTAATAGAGATTAAAACATACTTACGGTCAAATGTGTGTGTTGGCAAATGTGCAAAAGTTGACTGTTCCAACTAAAAAAGAATGGGGGAACTACATAGTATCATTAGTACAAATTTAATTACTACGGAGTAGTACTTTTTATTTCAATATCTACAACCTACGTCATATACTCCGTCATCCGTTATCTTCGACTTGTTACGTACTCCATATTAGTTTTTGAATTTCTATAGTTTGTTATATATCCATATATGGAAACTTTTACTCTACTTTTTCATACTCTCCTTCCCCACTTATTGCATATAATTTTCCTTATGTTTATTTTTTCTGATGCACAGGATGACCCTCTTAATGGGACCACCATCCTCAGGGAAAACAAAACTTTTGGTGGCTCTATCAGGAAGATTAGATCCTAGTTTGAAGGTTTGACTCTTTTATACTTTAGTCTGTTTAGTGTAACATTTTCATAATGACAGAATTAAATAAGTACTTTAGAATGTGTATCCAAACACGCATTAAATAAAATTCAATCTCAACAGTATATGCTTATTTACGAATATTAACCCAAGGGCGGGTCTACCTAGTTATTGTGGGTTATTTTTTAAAATATCCGGTGTATATGTTTTCAATTCCCGCAATTGAGCTCATTTGATATCGTTTGTATCCGGTGTTGGATCTATGTAAAGGTTATAATGGGCTAAACTGCTAAAGTACAGGTCCGCTAATTCTTTTTTTTAACTTTTAGTATAGTTTTTTTTGTATTTAGCTTATCCCACTTTTACCTTAAATGTAGTCTAATGACCTTTTAGTACAGTCCAATCTAAATCCGTCAATCTGCCGTGACCCTTATATAATCAATATTCAGCCTACCCAACTCTAATTCCTAAATCAAGCTAGCCAGCAGTACTTGTTTTGTGTGGTTTTTACAATTTGGATCAATCACTAAAAAGTTTGGGGAAAAATCCTGCAATTCACCCCAAGTGTTAATATTAACTTTCATGTTGTTATTGATATTGTTAAACAAAACAGAGAAAAGGAGAAATCACTTACAACGGGCATACGCTTGATGAATTTGTGCCACATAGAACGTCCGCATACGTGAGCCAACATGACATTCATGTCGGAGAAATGACTGTCAAAGAAACCTTGGATTTCTCTGCTAGATGCCAAGGGGTTGGATGGCGTTATGGTATGTATGAATGTTCTTATAAATGTATTATCCACTTACTGGCTTACTGGGAGTGTGTTACTGACACATCTCTTCAATATTATTATAATTATTTTTAGGGATGAACAAAAGAATGACAAATCGCAACCAATCCACAAATTGATCGAAATTATAACCATAAAAACCAAACTGAGTTATATACAAAACTAATCAAACTCGACCGGACCAACCAAAAATGTGAAATTGACTTGAATGTACCAAAACTTGTCAATCCAACACGACAGAAGCTGACATTAGTTTATCTATCAGTTTTGTTTTGTTTTTTTAATTGAAACGACAGAAAACCAAACCTACTAAACCAAACTGCAAACATGCATAGTTATTGTAATAATTATTAACCCTTATTATGATTTGATTTTGTACTCAATAGTAATCATGTGAATATCAAATAGATCTGTTGACTAATTAAGCTTGCAAGAAGGGAAAGAGAAGCAGGTATTTTTCCTGAGGCAGAAGTTGATCTTTTTATGAAGGTAGTCGTTTAATGATAAACTTAGAACTTCATAATTTCTAGTGATTATTACTATATATGCTTGTATAAAGAAGCAGTGAACTTAAACCGGATGGACCCCAGCCTTAAACTTAATAAGAGTCAGAGACACTATATTCTTTATTTCTAAAAGTAAATTAGTTATGATGGTCAAAAACATGTGATTGGTTTATTCTTTTAGATCTCCACAATCAATTTTAATTTTTTTTCTGTTTTACTTAAACAGGCAACTGCCATGCAAGGACAGAAGACCAGCCTAATTACAGACTACATTATCAGGGTATGGATTTCCAGTTCTTTTTATATATTATATATTTAAAACATGGAATTGAAATATGAAATTGAAATGCAAAATGGTGAAATAGTTTTTCAGTTTGGTAGATGTTGTTTTTCTAATTTGAAAAAATGTATATGCAGATATTAGGGCTTGATGCGTGCAGGGATACTATAATAGGTGATGAAATGTCAAGAGGAATATCAGGAGGCGAAAGGAAACGTGTTACTACAGGTTTTTGTTTTGTTACAAATCACTAAATAATCTTAATATGTTTTACTTTGAATTTGGACTTGGCACCCCCGTTTCTAAAACCCTTACTAATTGCACCTCAAAGTCTTAAAAGTGAGGTGCAAAGTCTAAGATAATTTTAGTACTCGGGATAAATGGGGTGTTAAGTCCAATTTCTAAGTAAGAATGGGAAGATGTTAAAAGTCCAATTCTCCATTTGAAATTTGAAAGAAGTTTCTTTACTATGTCAAATTGTCTTAACTTTTTTCATAGGTACTTCATTTTTCTGTGTGTGTAAACTCACTCTCTTTTAAAGAATTGTACGTAAATAATCATATTGAAATACAGGTGAGGTGATGGTAGGCCAAAAAACAGCCCTCTTCATGGATGAGATATCGACAGGGTTGGATAGCTCTACAACATTTCAAATAGTCAAATGTTTGCAACAAATTGCACATCTAACAGATGCCACCATCCTCATGTCTCTCCTCCAACCAGCTCCTGAGACATTTGAACTCTTTGATGATGTCATTCTCTTATCAGAAGGCCATATTGTGTATCAAGGACCAAGAGAGCATGTAGTTGAGTTCTTTGAAAGCTGTGGTTTCAAGTGCCCCTTAAGAAAAGGGTTTGCTGATTTTTTGCAGGAGGTATCATTTTACCTGATGTGTCTGACTTTTACATTTTTGAAACAGAAAAAAACGAGAAATGCATAAATGTATAAAGGAATCATAACAAATAGGAGTAAAACGTGGGTTACGAGCAGCAATTGAACTGTCCTTCTCTGTGCTAAAATAATTAGGACTCATTCTTTGCTAATTAAGAATTAAAGTGGTTAATATTTCTTTTATAAGTGAATGAGTTCTATGTTTAGGGAAAAACGAGTCATATTTGAAAAAGTGTTTTGTATAATAGTCTTATTTATAAAACATTCCCTAAACTATTTAAGTGTTTCCAAATGATCATCATCGTCATTATCAACATCATAAGATTAGTGCTCAAAACAGGTTACATCAAGAAAAGATCAAGAGCAATACTGGGCAGACAGAAGTAAACCATATGAGTACATTTCTGTCACCGAATTTTCCAATAGGTTCAAGCAATTCCATGTCGGCCTACGTCTTGACAACGATCTGTCTGTCTCTTATGATAAATCCACAAGTCACAAAGCAGCTTTAGTTTTCAAGAAATATTCAGTCCCCAAGATGGAGCTTTTCAAAGCAAACATTGACAAGGAATGGCTATTGATTAAACGAAATTCCTTCGTTTACATTTTCAAGACCATGCAAATATTTATTGTGGCTATCATTGCATCAACTTTGTTCTTGAGGACTCGTATGCATACTACGAATGAGCAAGATAGTGCTATCTATGTTGGTGCAATTTTATTCAGCATGACCTGCAATACTTTTAATGGTCTTGTAGAACTTTCACTTACCATGAACCGACTTCCTTTATTTTACAAACACAGAGACCTTCTTTTCCATCCCCCTTGGGCTTTCACTTTGTCCAGTTTTCTACTAAGGGTTCCAATATCTCTATTTGAAGCAATTGTTTGGATGGTTACAAGCTATTACACAATTGGATTTGCCCCTGAACCAAGTAGGTAAAGTTAGCAACCTGTTTCTGGTCATTATTTATTATATCACATTTGAGTACAATGATAGATGTCTTATTACATGAAAGAATAAGTGTTGAAAAGTTAGTCCAGTGTTGCCAAAATACGAAATAATAAACTAACATACAAAAATGCACGGGCAAGAGAAGGTGTTGATTGTGAGAACATGAGCTCTTAGTCCCTTGCAAAAATAATTGCTTTGAATGGAACTCCAAGTTATAAATAACTTGTAGCTAACTGTGTGCACATACATATGTGTGTGAGTGATTTCTCAGGTTCTTCAAGCAACTACTGCTAATATTTGCTATCCAGCAAATGGCAGCAGGAATGTTCAAGCTAATAGCAGGAATATGCAGGACCATGGTTGTCGCAGATGTTGGCGGCTCCCTGGTTCTTCTTATGGTGATCCTTTTAGGTGGTTTCATACTTCCGAAAGGTAGGTAGTGGATATTGGATTCCAAAAGGTAAGTAGTGGATAAGAATCAAGTATCTCTTTTTCTCTAGATGATAATAGAACTTGATGATCTTAAATTGTAGATAAGATTCCTGACTGGTTGACTTGGGGTTACTGGGTTTTCCCCTTGAGCTATGCCTACAATGCATTGGTAGTAAACGAGATGTTTGCTCCAAGATGGATGAACAAAGTGAGTGATGAGCCTAAAAAACCTTTGTTAACCTTTTCCCAAAAAAATTCTTTACAAATAACTGATAGTGATATCAAAAGGAGCCTAAGAAGTATATATGATTCCATGCACAGGCAGCTTCCGACAATACCACAAGGTTAGGCATAGCCACTTTAAACAACTTCAGCATTCCCCCTGTTGAGAAGTGGTATTGGATTGGTTTAGGAGCACTTTTTGGCTTCACAATACTCTTCAACATTCTGTTCACAATCGCTCTTATGTATCTTAGTCGTAAGTTTATAGTACTATTTTTGTAATATCTGTGATGAATCTATGAAGGGGAGCCTTGTCGCACTGGTAAATTCACTTGAAAATTCACTTAATTGATACAACAACAACTGGTAAAGTTGTTGTTGTGTGAATGAGAGGTCACGGGTTCAAGTCTTGGGACCCTTCCCTGGACCCTCGCCTTGCAGGGATGAATTCTTACACTGGGCTCTAATGAAATCTGTCATAAACCTATCTATATTGTATCATTGTCTGTGCATGAGTATATGTGAGTTTCATATTTTTATGTTTTGCAAAAACAGCTCTTGGGAAGCCAAAAGCTACAATAATATCCAAGCAGAAGAGGGGTGATAGAGAGGAGATGGAAGCTGCTGATCTAGACGATGTTGCCACAACAAATGGTGCACAGAGACATCATAGACCAACAAATAAGTCACCAAAGAAACGGATGGTTCTACCATTCAAACCTCTAGTCATGTCCTTTGATAGTGTGAACTACTATGTCGATATGCCACCTGTAAGAAACTGCTTACCCATGATGATGACAAAGTTTGATTTATACTCACCTACAGTGTTGTTGGATGGCAGGAAATGAAGGAAAGGGTAAGAGAGGATAAACTGCAATTGCTTGTTGAAGTGACAGGTGCATTCAGGCCGGGAGTTTTGACAGCATTGATGGGAGTGAGTGGAGCTGGAAAAACCACACTTATGGATGTTCTAGCAGGAAGAAAAACAGGCGGCTATGTTGAAGGGGACATCCGAATATCTGGATTTCCTAAGAATCAAAAAACTTTTACAAGAGTTTCGGGGTACTGCGAACAAAATGATATCCACTCTCCTCAAGTAACTGTCCATGAATCATTGATTTTCTCTGCATTCCTTCGTCTCTCGGAAGAAGTAACCAGAGAACAAAAAATGGTAAGTATGTCTCATTAATACATAAATACATAAACCAAAGACTTGTTTTGAGATAGACTTTATATATACTACGTATAATATAATTTTCTTTGCTTGGTGATCGGTTTTGGGTTTTCTTTGATCCTGGCGATTCTATAGATTTTTTTCGGGACCATGTAAATGGCAGGGTCTGGTTCAGGTATTTTTTTGGGGGCTGCTAGATTAAGATTGATAAGAACCTCACCAACAAATATTTAAAGGATGAACCAGTTCAGTTCTTGGGTTTTGACCTAGCATATCTATTCCTTACACCATAATATGCTTCCATATTGTTTTGAACAGGCATTCATCGATGAAGTGATGAATTTGGTTGAACTAGACGATTGTTTGAAGGATGCCATTGTTGGTATTCCAGGAGTCAGTGGATTGTCAACTGAGCAGAGAAAACGATTAACAATAGCAGTGGAACTCGTTGCTAATCCTTCAATTATATTCATGGATGAGCCAACCTCTGGGCTGGATGCACGGGCAGCAGCCATAGTCATGAGAACTGTGAGAAACACAGTTGACACAAGGAGAACGATTGTTTGCACAATTCATCAACCAAGCATCGATATCTTTGAGGCATTTGATGAGGTCATTTATTTTAGATCAATGATGTATCGCCACCCCCACCCCAAATTAAGTCTACCTACTTAGTTTCTCTTGTTCTGAAACATTCATGTTTCCATGTCATCATCAGTTACTCCTAATGAAATATGGTGGGCAAGTGATCTACGCAGGACCCTTAGGCCGAGAGTCACAAAAAATTATCGAATACTTTGAGGTATGTAATTCAACACCCCCACACACCTTCCACAAAAGTAATTTTTTATTTTCGCTGGAATAATGTTAAAGAAGATATTATCATGCATGCAATGAAAGACAATCCATGGAGTTCCAAGAATCACAGAAAAGTATAACAATCCAGCAACTTGGATGCTCGAAGTTAGCTCCATGGCAACAGAAGCCAGACTTGGAATGGATTTGGCGGAATACTACAAATCAACCGAGACATATCAGTAAACAATACAACCCCTAATATGTATCTAAACCTATTTGTAAACAATGTGATCCAATTTATTCATTTTCATCAACTATAATGTCTGCATGCTATATATGTTGTAGGCAAAACAAAGCATTGGTGAAGGAACTGAGTGTGCCAACTCCAGGGGAGAAAGACTTGTTCTTTGACACGCAGTTTTCACAGTCCACGTGGGGACAATTTAAGACATGCTTTTGGAAGCAGTGGTGGGCTTACTGGGCTTAGTAAGGTTCATCTTCACACTGGCTAGTGCCCTCCTGCTTGGGACGATATTCTGGAAAGTTGGCACGAAAAGGTTTTTTACTTATTCATTCATTCTTTATGATATATCGATTACCTCTGTTCTTTATTATTGGTAGCGATTTACTTTGTTATTGATAGGAATCTGGCTTAGTAGGCTAATAATAGAAATAATAATAATAATAATAATAATAATAATAATAATAATAATAATAATAATAATAATAATAATAATAATAATAATAATAATAATAATAATAATAATAATAATAATAATAATAATAATAATAATAATAATAATAATAATAATAATAATAATAATAATAATAATAATAATAATAATAATAATAATAATAATAATAATAATAATAATAATAATAATAATAATAATAATAATAATAATAATAATAATAATAATAATAATAATAATAATAATAATAATAATAATAATAATAATAATAATAATAATAATAATAATAATAATAATAATAATAATAATAATAATAATAATAATAATAAAAATAATAATAATAATAATAATAATAATGATAATAATAATAATAATAATAATAATAATAATAATAATAATAATAATAATAATAATAATAATAATAATAATAATAATAATAATAATAATAATAATAATAATAATAATAATAATAATAATAATAATAATAATAATAATAATAATAATAATAATAATAATAATAATAATAATAATAATAATAATAATAATAATAATAATAATAATAATAATAATAATAATAATAATAATAATAATAATAATAATAATAATAATAATAATAATAATAATAATAATAATAATAATAATAATAATAATAATAATAATAATAATAATAATAATAATAATAATAATAATAATAATAATAATAATAATAATAATAATAATAATAATAATAATAATAATAATAATAATAATAATAATAATAATAATAATAATAATAATAATAATAATAATAATAATAATAATAATAATAATAATAATAATAATAATAATAATAATAATAATAATAATAATAATAATAATAATAATAATAATAATAATAATAATAATAATAATAATAATAATAATAATAATAATAATAATAATAATAATAATAATAATAATAATAATAATAATAATAATAATAATAATAATAATAATAATAATAATAATAATAATAATAATAATAATAATAATAATAATAATAATAATAATAATAATAATAATAATAATAATAATAATAATAATAATAATAATAATAATAATAATAATAATAATAATAATAATAATAATAATAATAATAATAATAATAATAATAATAATAATAATAATAATAATAATAATAATAATAATAATAATAATAATAATAATAATAATAATAATAATAATAATAATAATAATAATAATAATAATAATAATAATAATAATAATAATAATAATAATAATAATAATAATAATAATAATAATAATAATAATAATAATAATAATAATAATAATAATAATAATAATAATAATAATAATAATAATAATAATAATAATAATAAGTGTACATGTAGATAATAATAGGTGTACTTGTAGTATAAATAGAAGGGGATGGGAGGCAAAAGGGGGGATGGTCCATTGTATTGTATCCCTTCTGTGATCTGTTCATCTTTGTGAATAAAGTGTTTCGATCTGTTCTTGTTCATTTCTACTGATTTTATATTGTTCTGAGTTAGATAATTCCAGTGTTCTATCAGGTATCAATGTAAAATTCCAAAATATCAATGACTTATGAGTTATGAGTTATGATTTTTACAAATAGATAGTATAATAAATTAATGGTCAATGTTGTTGTATATTTTCAAACTTGACAATCAAACTGTTGTAACTAAATACGGAGTAAGAGTTAATGAAGTATACATAACGCTTGAAAACAAGCCTTAGAAACCAGCACTTAGTGGTACAATTACTAATTGTCTTTTTTATGCTCAGGGACACGGATATAGATATTTTGACAGTAATAGGAGCCATGTACGCCACAGTTTTACTGTTGGGGATCACCAACAGTTCAACAGTGCAGCAAGTAGTGGTGGTGGAGAGAAGAGTGTTTTATAGGGAAAGAGGGGCAGGGATGTACTCGGCACTTCCATATGCCTTAGCACAGGTGATACTAGAGATACCATATGTGCTCATCCAGACAACGTTCTACACCTTAATTGTATATGCAATGTTGAGGTTTGAATGGATAGCAACCAAGTTCTTGTGGTTTTACTCGGTGAATTTCTTAATCTTTCTCTACTTCACGTATTATGGGATGATGGCCGTATCCCTCACACCAAACCAACAACTAGCAGCCATTTTCGCAGCCTCTTTTTACTCTCTTTTCAATCTGTTTTCGGGTTTCTTCGTCCCAAGACCAGTAAGTCTATCTTAAATCAATCCATTCTTTAAAAACAAATGACTATCATCTACTGCTCAATTACATATATTAAGACTTGGGGTTTTACATTAAAAGTTCAACATAATAAGAGAGGTGAGACTTGATATTTTGGTTTGTATCTTTATATTTGGGCAAGACCATCTCAACTCTTAACATGGTACCACAAACCACTTTTCTGATGTGAGAAACTTGATCTGACTGTGGTTCATAAAGAGCAATACATTTCTAGATTGGTTTCTCTAACAAACAACCATCTCAGGGCATGTTATGTAATGTCATAGCAGTAAACTATAAATGACCAAACTGATATGTAAGACGTTGTGCTACACTTTCTATTATGTTGACTTTTTTATATAAACGTCAATGATTATATACTATGTATGATATTCAAACATGGATGATATCTTCAGAAAATACCCATGTGGTGGAGATGGTATAGCTGGATATCTCCTACAGCATGGACCATTTACGGCCTAATCATTGGAGAATACGGAGATGCTGAGGATACTATTAGGGTTGCTGGATCATCTGCACGACCAATGATTAAAACCTACATAGAGGAACATTTTGGCTATGATCCCAAATTCAAGTGGCATGTTCTTGGAATATTGATTGGGTTTGCACTTTGCTTTGCATTCATGTATGCTTATTGCATTAAGACATTCAATTTCCAGAAGAGATAGATCTACTGGGCATGCAGCTATCATTATTAGTACTTGCTAGTTTCTCTTGGAAGTGTTAGAGAGATTAACTAACTAACAGAAAGAATAGAAGAGCAGATCTTATTCACACATCAACTGATCGTATTATTCATAGCAGCACATACAAGTATTTATAGAGTACACAAAAGCTAAAGGTCTGTTTGGTATTACATTTAACATCCCCCTTTAATACCAAACCCTTATCACTAGTAAACTAGGCCAAACTGACTATATTCAATAGATCTCTGAACTTTTTAAAGCTATCAATCTTCAAAGCTTTAGTCATTACATCAGCTATTTGATCTTCAGTGCTGCAATGATTCATCTGCACTCTATCTTTGTTCACCTGCTCCCTTAAAAAATGGAATTTTGTCTCAATATGCTTGCTACGACCATGTGAGACTGGATTCTTAGCCAAATCTATGGCTGATTTATTGTCAACAAACATCTTTATTTAAGGATCAATTATCTGCTTCAAATCTTCCAGTAAAAACAACAACCAAACTCCTTGACAAACAGCATTACATGCTGCAATATATTCAGCCTCGCAGGTAGAAAGAGCAGCAACATCCTGCTTTGTAGAGCACCAAGAAATTGGTATCCTTTCTAGATAAAACACATAGCCCATTGTACTCCTTCTATCTGTTTTATCTCCACACCAATCTGCATCTGTATAAGCACTGAGCTGCAATTTTTGATTCTCCAAATGTTCTTTAGGAAACAGAACTCCATATCTGAGTGTTCCCTTTAGGTATCTCAGCACTCTTTTAGCTGCAATCAAGTGAGATTCCCTAGGATCTGCCATGAATCTACTTATCAGCCCAACACCAAATAGAATTTCAGGTCTAGTGTGACATAGAAACCTTAAACAACCTATTAGTTGTCTGTAAAAAGTAGCATTCACCCTTGGTTCATCTTCACACTTATCAAGCTTTAGATGAGATTCAACTGGAGACTCAGCAGGTTTGCAGAACTGCATACCAAATCTGTCTAGTACCTCAGATAGGTATTTCTTCTGATGCATCACTAGTCCCTCTTTGGTCTGTGTAAACTCAATTCCCAAGAAGAAGGATAGTTCTCCCAAATCTGTCATTTCAAACTCTTCTTTCAATTTCTTCTTAAAATCATCAACCTTATTCAGGTTATTCCCAGTAATAAGTAAGTCATCAACATATAAGCAGATCAGTAGAGTTCCTTCCATAGAATTACTTAGCACATAAACACCATGCTCTACTGTACACTTTCTGAAACCAACATTAAGCAGAAATGCATCAATTCTCTTGTTCCAGGCCCTAGGTGCCTGCTTTAGACCATATAGTGCTTTCTTCAACTTTAATACCTTGTTCTCAGACCCTCTTAATTCAAAACCAGGAGGTTGTTGAATATACACTACTTCTTCTAAGGATCCATTTAGGAAGGCAGATTTTACATCAAGGTGCCAAAGAGACCAGTTTCTATATACTGCAATTGCCACAATTACCCTGATTGTTTCGAATCTAGCCACAGGTGCAAAAACCTCTGTGTAATCAACTCCTGGCTTTTGCATAAAACCTTTGGCTACTAAACGGGCCTTATATTTTGCTACTGAACCATCAGCATGAGTTTTTACTTTGAAAACCCATTTAACAGAAATTGGCACCTTTCCAGCTGGTAGTTCAGTAAGTTCCCATACCTTGTTTTTCTCAATTGATTGCAGTTCCTCCTTCATGGCTTCAACCCAAACCTTCTGTGTAATAGCTTCTTTGAAATCCACTGAATCCAAATTAGTTAGCAGGGCTAAGTAGATAGGATCACCTTCAGTATTAATATCAGTATCCCTATACAGCTGATAGTCTCTCAATCTCTGTGGGAGCACTCTGGTTCTTGTTGGTCTATGAGGAATCATTTCAGATGTGTTGTGGGAATTGTCAACTGTCTCCTCAATATTTCTATCACCATGGAACTCCAAGTCAATATAGGTGGCAGTGTTGTTATCTATATCAGCTTTCCAGTTGTTCCATTCATCAAAGATTACATCTCTACTATACTCAACTTTCTTTGTCCTGGGATTGTAGAGTCTATAAGAGCCAGTAGAGTTGTAACCTACAAATATCATAGACTCACTTTTGTCATCTAACTTTCTTCTAGTCTGGTCAGGAGTATGCTTGTAACATAGACAACCAAAGATTTTAAAATGAGTGACTGATGGTTTGTGTCCAGACCATACTTCTTCTGGAACCTGGTTATTCAATCTTTTGGTGGGTGATCTGTTTAGAATATAAACAGTTGTGGACACAGCTTCACCCCAAAGATAGTGAGGCAAATTTTTTCCTTTGATCATACTTCTGACCATGTTGAGAACAGTCCTGTTTCTCCTCTCAGCAATCCCATTGTGCTGAGGTGTATATGGGGCTGTAATCTCATGGATAATACCATTATTTTTAAAAAACAACTCAAGTTCTTTGGAACAAAACTCTCCACCACCATCTGTTCTAATAATCTTGAGGCAAAGACCTGATTGTTTTTCCACCAGAGTTTTAAAGGTTTTTAAGACATCACATACTTCACTTTTTGCCCTGAGCAAATACACCCACATCTTTCTACTAAATTCATCAACAAATGATACAAAGTATCTGTTTCCTCCCAGAGATTCTATTTCAAAAGGCCCACACACATCTGAAAACACTACATGAAGTATTGCAGTAGCTCTAGAAGAAGTATAGGCAGAAAAGGAACCTCTAGCTTGTTTACTGACTACACACTTTTCACACAGAGTATTGGACATCTTTATAGAGGGTAAGCCATGAACCATACCTTGATTGTACAACTTGTTCAGATCTCTGAAATTTAGGTGTCCATATCTGTAATGCCATAGCCATGACTGATCAGGTACTTCAGTAGCAAGACATTGAGTTTCCAAAGCTGTAATCTGAACTTGGAAAGTTCTGTTGCCAGAGACTGGAACTCTAAAGACTATTTTTCCTTGAGGATCATAGGCACTTAGAGCTCCTTTCTCCATGTGAATTGAAAAACCTTTCTCCAACAATTATCCAATAGACAGAAGATTACTCTTCATCCCTGGTACAAATAACACTTCACAGATCAATGCTTCAGTACCATCCTTCTTTCTAAAGACCACATCACCAGTACCTTCTGCACATATCACCCTATCATCAGCAAATCTTACTTTGTTTTTCTTAGATTCATCAAAATTCACAAGCCAATTCTTCTGCCCAGTCATATGATTGGAACAGCCAGAATCTAGATACCAAGTATTGGAGTCAGTGCCTTCTAAGAAAGTAGTCATCATCAAGGTTACAGGTTCTTCATCAGTATCTTTATCATCTTGAACAAGATTTGCTTCATCTAGTTGTTTACTAGTATCATAAAACTCTTCTGGACAAGGTGCTCTACATTCATTTGAGAAATGACCCACCTTATTACAGTTAAAGCACCTAATCTTCCTTCTATCAATCCTTTTCTTGCCTCTCTTAGTCTGATTGAAGCCACCTCTGTTTACAGAACTTTCAGGTTGTTCTTGGTCTTGTGTGAATGTAGGATTCTTGCTAGAATATCCTCCTCTATTGGATCTGCCTCTTCCTCTACCTCGGAAGCCTCCTCTATTATAATCAAATCTTTCACCAGTTTGAACCTGAAGCACTTGATCAATAGGTTTCTCAATCTTCCTTTCTATCATACGCAATTCATAGGCCTCAAGTGATCCTTGCAACTGCTCCAACTTAAGAGTTGTAAGATCCTTGGCCTCCTCAATTGCTACCGAGACATGATCAAAATTTGGTGTGAGAGTTCTCAGAACCTTTGCAACAATGTTCCTTTCTGGAATCTTTTCTCCACATTTCTTCATTGCATTAGTCAAAGCAATAACACGATTAATGAATCCCGCTATGGTTTCATTTTCCTCCATGTGCAGCAATTCGTATTGCCTGCTCAAAGTCTGAAGACGAACTCTCTTTAGTTGATCTGCGCCTTCATTACACTGCTCAAGAATCTGCCAAGCATCATGAGCAGTGGAGGCATTGGCTATCTTCTCAAAATGATCATCATCCAAGCATTGATGAAGCAAGAACATGGCCTTACAATCTTTTTTCTTGTTCTCTTTGTAGGCGATTTTTTCTGCATCTGTGGATGTTTCAGTAACAATTGGATAGGCTTCATCCACGATATCAAGCACCTCTTGATATCCGAGTATCACCTTCATCTGAATTGACCATCTGTGCCAATTCTTTCCATCCAGAATCGGCAGATTTGAAATTAGGTTATTCATTGCTCTGAACTCCCTTCGTCGCCGGTGAAATCTTCGTCGTTTCTTGAGCAGCACATACAAGTATTTATAGAGTACACAAAAGCTAAAGGTCTGTTTGGTATTACATTTAACAGGAAGCATCATGAAGATCTCTAATGATTTTGCTACTTGAATGATGTACAACTGTGGGCACTTCTCTGTCACTTCAGGCTATTTGATGACCACATATATCTTTCGTTTAACACTGATCTGCTATCAATCTGATCGATCTTGATCCTAAACCCAAATGATTCCTTTTTTCGTCTAATCTTGAATAGCATGTCTAGGGGAAAGTATCTACTGAAAGTTTGATATTGTGTGTGAATGAATATTCAATGTGACTTCTATTTCAGCAAATTTTGGTTAAAAGTTTTGAAATTCGGGCAAAATACGCTTTTTATGCATGTGGAAATAGGGGGGTGCAGGGAGGGAAATAGGGAATGACATCCCTAGGGGTTGATACTAATTTCTTCATTAATTCTAAATCTGGTTTGCTTCGACACTTTTAAAGCTTCGAGTTGAAGTTTTGTTTTGAAAGAAGAATTGAAGTTATTGTTATCAATATTATTAATATTCTCTCTCAAATCTACTTAATAATAAAGTATAACCTTCTAATTGAAATTGAATACCAATTAATTGCTATTGAGTCCAATTAGTGAATAGTAATTAATTGCAATTATGTTTGAAATTCATAGTATTTGCATCTACCTATCTACCTATTTATTTAATAATAAAGTACAGCCTTCTATTGAAACTGAATTCTTAATGAATTGTTGTTGAGTCCAATTAGTGAAGAGTCATTAATTGAAATTAACTCCTAAATTCACATATACCATGGGGCATCATTGCATCAATTTCAATTAAACTACAAAGAATATAATCATTCCTTTTAAATAGAATACATATATTTGATTCACAAATATTTCCATTTTAGTAAAATGATAAAATTGAAACTTCTTATTCGATAATAAGTGAGTATTCTTTTTTATAAATTGACCAAAGATGTATAAAAAATTGAAACTTATTTTTCCAGCTATACACAATTTTTATGAATTAGTAAAAAGTTGATCAAAGATGTATAAATAGTCTGTGAAAAACAATGTATGTTTCGAACCAACAAATGAATGCAAGTATAGGTATTAATGCTTGACATTATTACATTAAAACGTAAAATTTGAAACTATATATATGTGAAATTTGAATTTATGATACTCCGTATTTATTATTGATTATTGATACCAAATGATTAAAAGATCATGCAACATTTACCATTTAAAAAGTATGGAAAGGATTGAACGTGAGTGATCACTCTTTTTTTGTACTTCATAGCAATTATTTAATTTAATTGTACTCAATAGCAATTAATCAATTGATAAATCAATTTCAATTTGAAGGTTGTGCTTTATTATTAAGAAAGTAGATAAAAATTGTAACTATTTTCTATCGTTGATGTTTTAATTTACTTATATGCTTTTAGTATGATTGAAATTTTCTAATTTTATTTGGTATGATCTATTTAAATCTGGTGATCTTGGTTTAACCGGTGGCGTAGCTCACAAGGGTTAGGTCCCGGGTTGGAATCTCGGCAATTGCGATGAGAGATTAACCAACATAGGGTCTCTGCAAGTACCGGGGACGGAGCTCCACACTCTATCGGTCGGATTGACATCGTGTTCTCCGGTCGGTGTTGGGGGGCCTTCAAGGATGATGTGTCATTTTTTTTGTTGTGATCCTGGTTTAAACTAATTTGGTTTGATAGATGTCTATTTTATAAGTATTTTATTGTTGTTGAAGTCTGATCTAATTTATGCAAGTATGATTTAGTTTAATTTAGTTTGATTGAAATCAATCCAATTACAAACATCCAAATATGAGGAACTTTTTACGAAGTTATTATAGGGTCGTAATTACATTCAAATCAGAAGTACCCCTATTAATTCGTTCACAACCCAGAATTGTTTGTGCTCCAATTTTTTAATCAACCACTTCTTCCATTTTTACAACAAGTGATGAAACAATGACTTGAACAGTTTATTTGTTCTCACAGAAAGAATGACGGCGCACTGCTGCAACCGTGTAATGTACGAGGAACAAATAAAAAATAAGCACAAGATGATGATATGTGTATTATATGCACAAGCTGAGGCAGTAATGATCATCATATATATATATATATCCTCACACAAACAGAGAAGCATAAAGCAGGTGGTTCCAGGTATCAGGGAGTCCGGGGAGGCACCAATGGCTGCAATCCACACCCGAACGGCTGCCCCCGCCGCTGTACATAGACGGGTGTGCATCTTTTCTTAGCTGAGACAGAAATGTGATATCCAGCAGACGAACCGGCTTCTTTATCCTGCTTAGCACTTTATTAACAACCACCGCGGCTTGCGGTGTCCCTGCTGGATATTTTGATACTTCTAGCGGCAATTGCTCTCCGTTGCAGTTTTTGGTTGACGACGACTTCCACTCGTTTCCCCTGTTACGTTATATGTCACCTCGAGTTATGAGCACATGTACTATCTCAAAGACCTTAAAGGCATTGACTGTACTCACCAGTATACTAATAGATTTTTTTGAGCAATTTTTTGTATGAAAATATAAAGATTTGGATGGATCGGGGTCTAGGTTTGACCCCTACTTTTTTTACTCAGGACTGAAACTCACTTTATTGAGTTTCAAACCCTTAAGTGTTTAGTGGGTTTCGAACTTAAGACCTCCCACTAGGAACGGTAATCTCACAACCAGCTGGGCTGGAATGATTGGTTAGGTTCACCTCTACTTCCTATTAACATTTTTCAAATTTAAAAAATGATATGCTTTTTATTTTTTGAAAGGAAGTAGTAATGAATGTGTACTTACATGTAATGAGTGGGAGATATTCCTTGGAAGTAGACTTGAGTCTTAGAAGGATTGACATTGAGGTCCACCCATCTGGCCCAAGTTGATAAGCCCTTGTAGAATGCCACCAGCCGATCCATATCTTTGTACACCTTTGACCCATCTTGTACATAATCCCATCTACACAGAAAAATAAAGCAATAAATGCTTCGAATTTTTTTTTTCTTTTTTTTTTACCGTTGGGTTCAAAAGGCCTACGGCCGTACAGAACAATATATTGCACAAATTCTCCAGGCATAAAACCAAAAAATGCACATTAATGTATTTAAAAAGTATATTATGTAAACTATTACTATCGCTAACATTGAGAGAGTGGTGTGGTTATTAAGAAAATTGAAAGTATATACGGAGTAGTTGACATTGAATTGAGTGTGAATTCAAGTCCGTGACCGATAAAATATGAAATAATAAATTGCAATATTAAGATTTTGAGTTGAACTTCTAAAATAAGAATAAATTATAACTACTCAAATAATACCAATATGGCATGTGACAAATTTAGTTGGATGAACGAAATAAGTAAAGCGGAATAAAAATATACAAGTATATGATAAATTTGTCTCGTTGCACATTAAAAAAGTATAGTTTTGAAATAAGATTAATGCTGAGTTGAACTTCTAAAATAAGAATAAATTATAACTACTCAAATAATACCAATATGGCATGTGACAAATTTAGTTGGATGAACGAAATAAGTAAAGCGGAATACAAATAGATATGCTAAATTTGTCTCGTTGCACATTAAAAAAGTATAGTTTTGAAATAAGAATAATGCTCTGTTAGAGTTTGTGCATCAAATTGACACCACAGATTTGAAATGAGGAAAAGAAACGTACGGTTGAGATCTTCCTTTATGAGTCCACCAATGCCAGGAGTTGAAGATCAACACATCCATTCCTAACCATGCCTGGCCTTGCTGTATAGAATCCAATTTCAATACCCTTCCTATGTTTTCCTTTACTATATCCACCAAGTATGTTGTGTGGTAAAGGTACAAAGTTACTCCATACCCCTGCAACAAGATATGGTCTTTCTTTTATATATAAAAAATATAGACTACCACATATAAATAAAGGATAATAAACACTATTGTTGAACATTTATGACTGTGGCCCCTAAAAGAAGTAATATTCCAAACTTCACCTAATACTCTTGAATTTTAAATTAGTCAGCCTTAAATTTTGCATTGATTTTGTTCGGTTGACACTTAACAGGCACTGCAGCAATATGATCCTGTTGACTTTTTAGGGCCCCTTGGAAATTCAATTTTTTCAGATTTTATGGTTTATCAACACTTTTGTTTGTGTGTTTGATGTGATCTATGTAAGTCTGGTCTAATTGTCGCTCATATATGTAAGTTTGGCCTTATTGTATATAGCCGGTGGGCGTAGCTCAACTGGCCTGGTAGATAGGTCACGGATTCGAATCCCGACAACTGCGATGAGAGAGGTTACATGCAAAAATGCATAGCCTTTCGGAGATGGGGCATCACCCCTTTTTTTGGACTGATTTTGTATAATTTTTCATTGTAATTGTCAGAGTATATACGACTGCAAGTGTACCAAAGATTTTAGAATAGTATTAGAAGTTTAATTTCGAAGAGATCACAACTTTTTTAAGCTATATATATACCGGGTAAATATATATCGCGTAAAAGATATTTAAAATAAAATATATGGAACAGTACACTTGATTTTTAAAATACAGGAGTATGAAATTCTAATATGTTGATAAAAAAAGACTTTTTTATAAAAGAAAGAAAATGACAACTTGATATTTAAATTAAACAAAAACATTTTGTATATGTATATAAAGCAGGATAGTTAGATACGTTGTGTACTTGCTAACTTGCATCAACTAAACCTAGTTGTTGTCACAATGATTAATTAATGAAATTCACGTGTATTGATCACAACATGAGAACAATATAATGTGAGTGGTCAGTTAAAGTGGCTTTATTAAATTTTAGTTTGTGATTGCACTCTGCCTTATTAATGATGATTCATTGATTCCTAACACTTATGATATTCTTGATTATGACACTTGTTCATGTTAAGTTGCCAAGCCTGATCCATTTTGTCCGCGGGTAGCTTGAGTCAACGGTTTAGGCAAATGGTTTTCAACACCTAAACTTGTCTATATTCCGTCCCTCAAAAATACTTCTAACTTTCCCTTTTCGTCCGTCCAAAAAAAGACTTCATTTTCCCTTTTTGGCAAAGAATTTGTGGTTCACATCATTTCTCTCTCCTCTGCACAACTCTCCATCACACAATTCTCACTTTCTTAATCCACGTGTCATTTTAATTTGGAAGTAAATTCAGGGACGGAGATAGTAATTATTTTCCTTTTATTCGCTCCACTAAATTTGTCTCATACTATATTTGATAATATTTGTATGATCATAATTTATTCTTACTTTATTATCAATTTATAACTCGAACCACAAAACTTTACTTTTTTAAAAACTGCATCATTTTCCTTTATCAAAACCTTAGGTAGAAGAGGTAGTATTAGCTATCATTCCCTATCAAAGCTTCTTTGTCTATTGGGCAAAGAGTTTTCTCTTATTGAACTTTTTTAAGATACGTATTACGTAGTACTATACTGTAAATTTTTCTATATTTTATTAGCAAAATACCATATACTTCGTATACCTTAACTATAATTTACTCTTAATTCATCAAATTCAGTTTTTTGAGCCGGTTTAGTCAGAATTTCAATCAATTTCAGCAGATTTAATGGATCCATCTAATTTAAGTATTATCAAGGGGTTCTAAATTTGTTTAAAATAAGAATTTAACATGTAATTCTTCCAATCAAATTAACGTTTTCGTATGAAATTTCAAATGTTAATATGATACTACTATACGTATTTATCTGTTCATCATGAATAGCCCATTCAGATTCTGCTTGACCATTTATCCGATTTGATTAGACCATTTAATTAGCCACTACGCTTATAGTCATATGAAGTACTTCGTATATACTACGCATTAATAATGCTTCATTGAAAATAAAGGATGAAAGTGTCTTTGAAACTTTTATTTCACTACAAATACGTAGATTTCTGAGATCTATCTTTCATTCCTAACCAAAACAGGAAAAAGAAGATGATATTACCAACTTTCATCCATAATTACTTATTGAAATGCAAGGAAAAAAATTTCATCATTTATTTTACTCATTTTAAGTGCCAGAAGAAAAGGTTCATCATTTATTATACTCATTTTAAGTGCTAGAAAAAAGGTTCATCATTTATTTTAGTCCTTATTAAATGCAAGGAAAAAAGGGAAAATAACGACCACACGCAAAAGGGCAGATAGGATCAAAGACATAGAAGCCAGCAAGACAGAACATACATAAATAGGCGTATTAAAAAATGGGTGGTAAAAACGAGGTAGGAACAGAGAATCAAACAAAGGGCAGCTGACCTTAAAGTTGAAGGACACAAAGGAGAGGGTTTCCTGTCTTGAAAAGCTCGTCTTTGCATTTGGCACCGACGCATGAATCATGCAGGCCAGCGAGTTCCACATGTTCAAACTCAGTGAGTCGCCCACAAACATTATCTTCTTCCCATTCCATCTCTTCAAAAGCTCCAATCCATCAAACCTATATGTATTTCCATTTTACAACAACTTAATAGTTAATAAACCTCAATTCATAATGAAAGTATTTGAATATAAATAAATTGGCTTATAAGGTGTACGGGTTAGTTTATTCCTCACTCTTATGTGAACCAAAGTGCATCTAGTTTATGATGACAATGTATTGTGGTTATAAATCAAATACTACCGTCTACCTCTATCCCAATTTGATTGTACCAGTTCTTAGTCACATGTCAACACAAACCACTCTAAATCTCTTACTTTATATATCAAATTTTTATCAAAATTGATTCAGGTGTTTGAGACTTTGTAAAGCTTTTAAAATACTTTCTGAATATGTATTTTTTTCCTAAAAATAATATGAGTGCGGACAAGGATCTGTTTACTTTATTGTCACTCAAACATCGTAAACCACATTGACATCATCAAATTAGGAAGGAGGGAGTAACCTTTTCTTACTTTCATTTATACTTATACCGGAAAAACCTAAAAAGTCAATATCAAACATTTATAAATACGGCCTATTTGACAACTAATGTGTTCAATCGTACTGTGTACCGTGTACGAATGAACAAAGCGAACCCTTTTTGGTTGTATTTTCATTTTTGGCACAATTATTAATAGAGTGATTGATCAGTAATAGTTTTGGTATTTGAGTATAATAACGTGAAATGATAAGGATCCAGGAAAACATATTCAAAGTGCATTAGGACTAAAATATATTTTATTCTTTAAATATGACACGTTCGGTCTTAATTGGGAAAGTTTGATGTTTCTACTATGACTAAATAAATCTTATTTTGAGAATAACATATAGTTGGTCGTGCATTTTGTCCATATTTTAGCTGTATTTTAAGCAATATTTGTTATGACACTTCTTTGGGTGTGACTTTTTATGTGTTTAGCCATGATTTTTAGTTAAGACTAACTCTATTAGTTACTAATCCCATCGTTTTTGTTTTACTTTCCTTTCTTAATTATTTCATTCGTAGCTCTCTTTTTGGAAAAAAAAAAATAGTGTTCCAAGTCATTTGACTTTATTATTGAATTCAAATTTCAACCGCAATTTTTAACTTTTCAAAATATTTATTACGGAGTAATAATTATGCCAAACAATAATATATACTCTGTAGCTTTGTCCCTTGTAACTTTGTAGAGCCCGTGTGGTAGCACCAAAATCGGCTGTTTTGGCTGATTCTGCTGAAATTTATGATATTCTGGCTGGAGTGGCTGTTTTGGCTGATTCTGCTGATTTAAGAAAAAAATATTTTAAAAATATATTTTATTAATAAATTAAAGAAAAAATTATATGTAAAAATAGCTAAAATGGTCCTCTACAGTAACTTCAGCCAATACAGCCAGAAAAGTAACTCCAACCTTACTTTTTCGGCTTATTACACAATTCAGCGCGCGAAAGTAAAAGTTACGTGTTTGGTGAAAAAGTTGGCTGATAAGCCTGATAAGCTGAAAACAGAGTTCTCCAAACGGGCTCGTAATCTCTAATTTTTTATGTCCCCAAATTTGTACTTGTATCTCTTTCTCCTCTACATAAACTTTATCATACCGTATTTACCTTACTATTTTCTCTACCCGTCAAACTTAATAAAATTTTAGGAATAGCGTATTAATAAGTGTGTCAAATGAAAACAAAACGAATGAAATCGGGGTATTATATCAATTGAGTCGATGCTCGATTAGAAGAATGTAAAAGTATAAAACAGTACAGAGCATAGCTTAAACGATGTCAAATGACTCTTTTATCCTTCTTTTTTTAAGTAGTACCCGGAGTATGTAATTTCCATCAAACCCATTCAAAGCACAAGTTTTTGATTTAATTAAAATTACACCTAATAGGCTAATATAGTCACTTCCATCAGAATACATAAAAAAATCAGCCCATAATCCCCTGCCAATTCTTTTATATTAACTCCAATAATAGATATCCAAATCGTACGTTTATATAATACGGAGTAGAATATATGAAAATTTAATATTTCAGCCCATAATTCCCGTCAAATTCTCCTCTTACCAAACGAAACATTCATCAAATTTAATATTTTCAGCCCATAATTATCGAATTATTAAATTGATTGAATTAGAAATAAAATAACCTGGGCAAGGCACAAGAGTCGGGCTGCCAGGCATAGCTGAGGTAGAGCCTATCCGGGCGGCCAAATTTGATGCAGTCAAATTCAGGGTCGAGAAACGGGCAGCTGGCGGGCTTATACAGAGGATACGAGGAATCCACCGCCCATTTCCCTCTGAATAAGTTACACTTCTCGCCGGCGCCGCCGCCATTGCTGACATTATTACTGTTTTGCCCCGCCGTCAAACCTCTTGCTCCTTGGCCTTGCAGTAACAGAAGAAGGAGAAATTGGGTACCCATTATTACTCCCAGTTCCAATACTCTGCAGCTTGACATCACTTTTAGCCCGGCGGCGCCGCCCATCTTTGGGTTTTGGCTCGGACCACTTTGTGAGCTGAACTGTGCCTAGAAATCGAGATGCTTATATATAAAGAGGACGGCGAATAAATTATGGACAGGATAGAAAGATGCCTTTAAAGTAGGTAGGGGAAATTACTTGGTCCAATATCTCTTTTTTCTTGTAACCAAAATGGTCCCTCCCTTAACTAAGTCCATTTTTATACGTAAATTGAGATCTTGTATGTATTTCCTTTTTTAATTCTTTTTGGTACCAAAATACTACTCCCTCCGTATCATATATATCTTACCACTTCCAAAGTGAGTGAGATTAAGAATAGTGAAATTGAGTATGAATTATTGAGAGTATGATGGGAAGATAGTGAAATAATGTGATAGAATGAAGGATAAATTAAAAAAATGTAGGTGTAGTAGTGTATTATTTTTTAAATTATTGAGGGTATGATAGAAAGATTTAGAAATGGAAAGATATATATGTTACGTCCAAAAAAGGAAAGTGAGAAAATATGAATGTTACACCGGATTTTTGCCAGTTACACCGGATTTTTGTATATCCTCGGCTCACAAGCTTGCTCGTTTATTTTAGGTAATCGTTTTGTGCATTTACTATTAAATATGGTACTTGGAGCATAAATTCATCTATTTGTGAGTTCAAATATACAAGTAATATAAATATCACCAAGAATACCATATATATTACTTAACATATACGGAGTATGGATTTTAGCATATCTTTACCATTTTATTTTGTTTGTTTATAGGACTGTTGTTATGACAAGTCTCTCCTCTTAATCATCATAGGTGATAGACACTAAAGTCATATGTGTGACTCAAAATAAATTGAATTCATTGTGTCTTTTAATTTGAATTCAAGCCTTATGAATATATTTGCAGCTAGTGTGTATAATCTCATTACTTAAATCATTTATGATAATTGATAAACACTTCAACTTCAATGTTACATTTTGAAGTCTAAAGTTTATCATTGAGACAGAGTAGTGATGTACCGTCATAAAGATTCTGTCATTTAATTAGATCTTTCTTTCTCTAATCTCCCCCTAATGACAGGAAAATTAGTTGTCTCATAAAAGTAATATTCCGCAAAGCGGTGAACACATTATTTGTTAAGGCTTGTAGCGGTTATTATTGGAGGTTCATATCCAACATAAACAACATTTGTTTTTTTTTTAAACCGGTTATAGTGCGCTGTGGGAGGCGCAATAGGCACAACATTTAACAGCCACATATGCATAAGTAGAACATCTCATTCTAAGATCCCGTCACCAACTGGTATACACAAAAGTGGTTGTCTACTATCGGTCTTAAAAAAACAAATGTGTAAGAGTGCTTGCAATATTGCATAATCCCATGAAAATAATTATATATACATGTGCGCATAGTAGATATAATATTCATCATCTATATTCTTTTAGATATGAGCTTTAGTGAGACTTTATTTTTACATGGGATGTGAGATGATTTTCATTGATCTCGACAAATATGCAATACTCGTCAAATACTTTTGATGAGAACTGTCTAGCAATAACAAGTCATATAGACTTGATTGGTCGGGTCGGTGATGAGCCCCTTAAATGAATAAATTTGTGCTAGAAATTTTGCAAATGCAACATTTTATGTAACAAGAAAATAGATGACATGAGGAGATTTCTACCAAACCATAATTACTTGAACGGCCCGCATTTTGGTATGTAAGTTCTCACGTGTCATATTGTATTGAAAAAATGAGATATCTTCATTTTTATATCCTTAGCATAGACAAGTCTCGATTCTATTATTGCTAGGGAGTAAACTTTTAGAAATAACTGGCATACCTTCTAAAATATTTTTAAGGCATAATGGAGAGTAAATATATCTTCTCGTACTTTAGAAGATGTATATTGATTTTTTATTAAGCAATGCTTAAAACCAACAATTTACCTCCTTGTGTCGGATCCCTTTTATCCTTTATTCGAATGATTAATGATGAGTCAGTTATTTTAAAATTTGTATGAGTCAATGCCCTTTTTGTCTCATAAATGTATGAAATATGCATTTTCTTTTGCATTTATTAGATGTAAAATGATATCTTCTATCTCATTTTTATAACGAGTTTCTATGGGAATGCCTACTGAGGGTAGCTCGGTGGACATTGATGCCCAAACAATGTGAGAGTTCAGAGAAGCCTCACACAAGTGTATAAGGGGCAACTTTTGTTACTTGACAGAGGTTTTGACGAGACAACAAGACAGATACCAAATTTTATTCAACTCATCAGCACAAGGTGGAGTGTTGAAGGAAATTCTATGTAGTGTGCTATCGTTTATATAGAATATGTATTAGGGTTATTTCTATGTAAACTATGTAATCTGGGCCTATTGGTCCGTACTTGTAAACCCTACTCTATCCCTATTTATAGGGGCATTCGGTAATGAAACTCTACGAACAATTCTCTCTACAACAAAGTATGGATTTTAGCATATCTTTACCATTTTATTTTGTTTGTTTACAGGACTGTTGTTATGAGAGACAAGTCTCTCCTCTTAATCATCATAGGTGATGACACTAAAGTCATATGTGTGACTCAAAATAAATTCAATACTAGCACTAATACATAGTATAAGTGAAATAGAGTTCATATTCACAGGGAAATGAATAATTTTCTTTTACGAAGCTAGTAATTAAAAGGGGGGTTTTGGGATTGTATGATTTTATAGAAAATCGCATGTTTAGTGAGTTCCTATATTATACACCCGGTTGTATATGTACAACCAGGTTTTTTTTGTAATTTGCTTAATGTTTAGATCTATCTAATACGGACTACTTTGTTCTCCCAAATCCTTTTTTTGCCTGACTGAACTGCTGCGTTTGTGGAATGCGAAATTAAAGACAACGCGTATGAGCGTGAACGTGCTATTGAATTCCATATTCTAATTCTTAGAACAAAAAAAGAATCTAAAACTGGAATGCCATCCAAATATATTATTTTTACTCCGTATTACTTTGTTCAAGTGCACTAAATACCAAGCTCCACTATGAAGGAATCCACAAAATTGTTAAACATGATTGATTTTTCTATTGAGCAATTTTAATGAGTATTGAACATATCTTGTTAAATATTAAGAGTCTAATATCAATCCAGATATCTGATTCATATATTTTAATTTACCTTCTTTTCTTAATTTTTTGTTTGATAAAAATTTCTTAAATTATATTTACAATAAACTTTTGTGAGTTTCAATATGAAAATATAATTTAATATGATACTTTGAAGGATTTATTGATCTGATTTGAAAATCGCAACTCTGTTATTTGAGCATTAGTGTACTTTTAATGAGTATCTGACCTATTTTATTGAGTATTAGGAGGCTAATAATGAACATCACAATCTCTGCTTCATATCTTCTAATTCAATTTTTATTCTTATTTTTACTTTTATCAAAACTTATTAAATTATATCTATAATTCACTCATATGAATGTTAATATGTGAATTTAATGTAATATGATACTTTTAAAATATGCATTTTTATGACATTTTGAAGATGAGTGTAATATTAGTACGGAATGAGCATACATAACTTACAAAATGCTCATTGATATGAAAATTGTAAGATTTGTTTAGTATTTAAAATCACAACATTTTCATTGAGAATCAAACCTTCTCTATTAGGATGAAAATCACGATTTCTGTTAAATGAGCATTAATGCACTTTTAATGGGCATCAAACCTATTATATTGAGCGTTAGTTTCATCAGCGTTGATATGACATTTTAAAAATGAGAATAACGTAATAAGTTTATTACTAAATGAACATGCATAACTTACAAAGTGTGCATTGAAATGAAAATCGTAAGACTTGTTAGTTGAGCATTATGATATTTTCATCGAGCATCAAACATCCGCTATTGAGATGAAAATTACGATTTTTTTTGAATGAGCATTAATAAACTCTTAATGAGCATCAAACCTATTAAATTATTTTATACACAATTCATATGAATTTCAATATTTAAATCTAATGTAATGGTAAAATATTCATTGATACGTCATCTTATAAATGAGCATAACATCAATACCAAATGAGCATATGTAACTTACTTAATGAACATGACACCAATATCAAATGAGCATACATATTTACGAAATCCGAATCGAAAAATTCAAAAGGCTTATTTAAAATCTCCATTATGCTCAAATATTAAATGAGAATATGTAATGCATGAAATGAGCATCGAAAAATTAAAAATGAGCATTACACCAATATGCATAAATATGAAATTTTGAAATGTGTGGTGTAATACTCATTTTAAAATGAGCATTACACCAATAATAAAATGAGCACAAATAACTTACGAAATGAGCATCAACAAATTAAAAAAGCACATTGAAAATATCTAGTATGCTCAAATATCAATTTGTGTATGCTCATATCAGTATGACAATTTAAAAATGAACATAACATGAGTATTAGTTGAGCATACACAACTTCCAAAATGAGCATTGACATGAAAATAATAAGTTTTTTTTGTTGAGCATCAAGACATTTGTATACGCATGCATATGAAATTTTAAAATGAGCATAATATCAATACTAAATGAGCATACATTATTTACAACATGAGCACTCAAACCATTAAAAAAATAATCATTAGGAATCTTTAATGTGCTCATATGTTTTCTTTAAATGCTCATTTCTTTCTTCCAAAAAATAATTCCTTTCAAAAGATGGATTCAAATGAGTTGTCCTTGAGGGACTTCAATCTTGTTCCCTACACCCTTCGACTACTGATACATGCGCTGTGTGGCAAACCAAGCTTATCCTACTCCAAAGCAACCGGCTGATAAAGAAGTTGTGTGTGGCAAATCAGGGTTATTCTTCCAAAGCAATCGCTGAAGTGCCGAACAGGGGTGGTGCAGTCTTTGATGGCTCAGGCTCTATTGGCTGCAGTAATTTTGAAATCGAAACTCTCCGTGCAACCTGGATTCAAACTTATCGGAGTTAACAGTTAGCTTTGAAAGCGATTTCCATTCTCTCGATGTTCCAGCTCTCGAAGGATGAGAGTATCTTTGCCGGCTTTCAATTTGGACCGATTTCGTCTCTGCTTCCTGAATCCTTCGATGTGCGAAAGAAATAAGATGTGCGGAGTAGTATAATCAGGATCACATTTGCATTTAATTACAAAAATACCCGGCTGTACGGTGAGGACAGTACAACCGGGTGTATGATATATTTTACCATGTTTAGTCCCTGAAATAGTCGTCATATTGAAATGTCAACCCTTATTTCTGGAATTGTAAATGTCACTCCTCAATTGTCGAAATTGTTGTAAATGTGGTCCTTTGAGGGGTAAAATGTACCCCTCGCCCACATGTACATTTCACACCTCAAAGGACCACATTTTTAGTAATTTAGACAATTGAGGTGTGACATTTACAAACTTTAGAACACGAGTCTGACATTTCAATATGGTGGCTATTTGAGGAACTAAAAGTGTGATTTTCCCTTGATTTTAATTAATTAAATACTAAAAATCGTTTTAGGCACCTGACTAGTCCCCGCCTAGACGCTTGGCGGTGGTCGGGCGCCCCAATTTTTGTCTAGGCGCTCCGACTAATTGGTTTGCCGTCTAGGTGAATTAGTCGCCCACCTGTGGTGCCTAGTTGCCCGCCTGGAGTGCCTAATCGGCCGCCTAGGGTGTCTAATTTGTCAAATTTTGCTTCAGTTTTTAACTTTAATTTTCTAAGCGATATACATACTTTAACTTTAGTCATGGATATAAAGAAATGAAGTTGTAAATTAAGATAAAACTGTATGTGTTTGTATATTACCTAAAATTTATCATTATTTATATTTATAACATAATGAAGTTAAGTGATTAGTTATCTTGTAC